TTATAATTAATAACATTAATTTATATTATAAACACAATTATTATAATTAATTTTAAAGTTACGTGTCTCACTTGAATTTTGATACAAGCGCGATTACTATACCTAATGCTGATTCTACAATGAATCGGTAGTCGGAAGTTTTAGTCTTAATCGATGAAGTTGGCCAATCAGCCTTAGTCGTATAAGTTGGCTATTGGTCAATTTCACCAATAAGACTTAGAATTACCGATTCATTGTAGAATCAGCATAAGGACTGTTCTTTTTAGCTGAACTTTTGCACCAGTTCATCTTTCTTCCTTTTCTCTCTAGGAGGAAAGAAGAGGAAGAAAGATAAACTGGTGCAAAAGTTCAGCTAAAAAGAACAGGCCTTTACTTTGCGCAGTGGGCACGGCGTTTACATACTTGATCTAACCTCTAATTTACTGAAATTATTATTCACGCCTATTAATCAATCAGTTGGGTTAAATATTATTATTGATTCTTTTGATACGTATTTCAATCTTCTTCGACAATGAATCTACCTCGAGCGTTGATTGTTAGCACGAAGGAAGGAAAGGCTAAAGAAATCGCAGAAAGTAAGTACAGAAGTATACTTTCATAATTTTTCATAAATTTTTTATGTAATTTTATTTGATGTTGTGTATTTGTAATGCAGGTATAGGGGCGGAACGTCTATCCGAGGAAGACAAGATTGTAGACTATCTGTGGAACATTGACAACAAGTATTATACATCACAGATCTTGGTACGTGCTGTAGAAAATTTATCCCACAAACTCCCAGTGGAAGAAGTTGACGCATTGATCGTGTACCACGATCCACAGGCAGTAAGAGACATAATTTAGCAATTAGATTGACATGTTGATGGCAATTGATTTCTATAGGACAAGGTGGATCAAGAGCTGGAACAATTGACATCCTTGGCCACTTCCTTAACAGCAGCGGAGGTACTGTTGTTTTCTTGCAGGGCAATATCCGACTCGCCTTTGCGAGATAAAGGTACAACAGTGATGAAGAATGTTGATTGATGTTCAACGAATATGGATATGAGGAGTCATTGAGTTCTATATTTTAAAAAATATATTGGAGCATTCCTTCTTTATACTAAACTATAGAAAACTACAGTCCAACAGAGAAAAGAAAGGCAAATAAATATTTATCTTTTAGACTGTTCCAAACTACAAACAGCTAATCAATGACAAAGAAATCTTGGTAAAGAAAATATAATACAATTTTTGCATCATGAAATGCTTTTCAGCCAGAACACTATTAGTGCTTTTCAGCAAAACAATATAACACAGTCAATTATTTTATCTCTATTTAATGTTTGCAAACATTGTGTTATACTGTGTCCTTACTGGAAAACGCCCAGAGTATCATTGTTTATGTAATTGTTTATATAATTGAGACCCCCATTCTTCGATGGCGCGCTCTAATATATTATAGAGCTCACTGAGGGAGATGCTATTAATGATATTTGTCATCTGTTCTTATTTTGCATTCTTATGAACAATAAAGATTGAATGACATAAATAGCGCTAATAGCGTCTCTTTAAATACACCTTACACTATATATTTATTTCCATATTGCATATAATTGATGCTTTTTGTTTATGTTTCAGTGCTGCATTGGTGTTTGCACCACAAGTTTGAGCTAGTCGAGTTAGAGCAAACGGGAAATTCAGAATGCGATACAGAGGGTAACAAATATGGCATCGAGAGAATCATAGAAGCTCTGCATGCTCACATGTGGCCCAATATCGTGCTTAAAGGTGCAAGCCAAATTTCTGTTGTTAGAATAAAAACTCAAGCATAACTCTTTTCACATAGATATGAATCAAATTACGTTTTGTTACAGACAAGTCGTGCATGGGACCTGCACCAGAGGTAAACGAAATTGAAGAACAATTTGAAAATATTCGATTAACACGTGATCCTGCGGAAACACTACGCATGCAAGATATGCTCGGTCAGTATAGATCATGAAACAAATGATAAATCTATGAAGTGCCATCGCTTATTTTTCATTGGATTTTAAATTAAATAGACGGCATCATGGGTGATGAAAACGCAGATTTTGGAGAACTGTATGGCCAATTGATGGCTATGAAGGAACACGCGGCATCCTTACCAACAAATGAAAGGCGCCTAGTGGCAGAGCAAGTAGTCACCGCTTTTTGGAAAGCCATGGGTGGCGATCTTTTAGAAATTGAGGATTAAATTTAAGATTTGATGTATTTTATAGATCGATTATAATTTTAATTTCTTATTTCTGAATTGATTTGAGATAGAGAGTTTAGAATACAACATAATTTATCTAAAGACTGCTGCATATTTGAACGATGTATGTTAAGGATGTATAATAGAAAAAAAAAAAAATTTTAGAAAAAATTCCATCTGATTTAAGTGTATAGTATTGCATGTATAATGTTATTATGTACTATTAAAAATATTTATCTTAAATGTAACGTAAAAGTAATCACATAATCCGATGATAGAATTATTAATATTATTATATTTAAAATGTGTATATATAAAATATGTATATTTCTTAATAAAAAACATTTATTTAAAGCTCCTGAGTAGTTACTACAGTTATACTGAATCGTTAGAAGCGAGAAATTACACGTTAATTTTTGTTACGTGACATTTGTAAATAAAGATAATTTAGATAAAATAAAATAATGAGATCATTTATAAAAATAGACGAAAACTTTTATGTTTATCCTCTCCGACAGTCAGTAAATATATAATCATAAAAAGTGATAAAAGATATGTGTGAATAAAAATATACGCATGAATAAAAGCACTTGCGTCGCTTACATGGCTTGTATCACTTTTTACAATCATTTACTGACTGTCGGGGGAGGGGGGGGGGAGAGGGAGGAAAGATAAGGATAGCTTTTGTCTATTTTTACAATTGTTTTAAAGCGATTTCATCATTTCGTTTTATCCAAATTAGCTGTGATAACTACTTAGAAACCTTAAAAATAAATAAAATATTTTATATCGAATTTTTATTAATATTACGAATTAACATTCGTAAGAAGACTGCCTGAAGAAAAGAAAAGGTAAAATTAAAAACATCGCAACATTTTCCTCATTTTAGAGAGAAAATAATGGATATATGTTCATTGGATATATGTTCATATTTTTGAACAGTCTGAAGCAAATTATATATCAGTTCAAATATTAAAATTCAGCGACCGATTTCTGAATATTAGGAGCGCATGACTTGAAAGAAGCAAAGCTGCGTTCGAAAACACACACCAACTGGCGCCAAGTATATCATTCTATCCCATTCTATCCTTGTTATTCACCGAATGTTAAACAAGCATAAATTAATACCTGGAGGTGTTCGCGATGTGTATTCCCGAACGCAATCTAAAATGTCCAACTTAGCGCTACATTCAAAATAAAATTTTTTCACGTATTTTCCTATTGGTTCTTCATCGACGACAATCTACAGTTAAACCTCAACTTAATTAAATCTCATCAATGTGTAATAAGACTCGTTTTGAATGGGTTATGCGCACGATGCTACATGATTTGGATGTAGCCGTTTAGATTGTTTAGAACTACTATGAGTATTGTCCTAACCGTCCTAATCATGTTCAGTTACATGACACGATGACTCCTGGTGCACTCATGTGTATCCTCACATTGTTTTACGAAGGCTAATTGTTTCGTATTATGCGTTGATTACGATGACAAATTCCGTAACAAGGAAGATGATTTCCCTTAAGTTGATTCGCCCATACAGTCAGTTCACCAACAACAAACCGGCTAACCTCATCAGAAATGAATTTTTAGATTACTTCACGAAGGATTTAAAGCACAGTTTTATTCGTTCCAGTCCCGTCTCTCCGATTACCGATCACTCGCTGGCGTTTATCAATGCTGGCATGAATCAAGTATGTCACACTTTTCTTGAGAAATTTGTAATAACTAGTCTGTGCTATAACGAATACTTTTCTTTTTACTCTTTCAGTTTAAAGGGATTTTCTTAGATTATTACAAACCTCCTATGACAAAAGTTGCAAACTCACAGAAGTGTATCAGAGTCGGTGGGAAGCACAATGATCTAAGTATTGTTGGCAAAGATAGTTATCATCATACCTTTTTTGAAATGCTTGGCAACTGGTCGTTTGGAAATTATTTTAAAGTATGATTTTGGAAATTATTTTAAAGTACGAAAGAACTACAATATTACTTTCACTAAACTTTAAACTTGTAGTACTTATTTGTGTAATGAACTGACTTTAGGAGGATGCTTGCTCGTATGCTTGGAATCTCTTAACAAACGTATATGGCATACCTACAGAATATTTATATGTAACATATTTTGGTGGTAATGAGGAACTAGGCATGAGTCCGGATTTGGAATGCAAAGATATTTGGTTGAGACTTGGTCTTCCAGAATATAAAGTTTTACCTTTTGGTATGCGAGACAATTTCTGGGAAATGGGGGTATCAGGTCCTTGTGGACCTTGTACAGAGATACATGTTGACTATATGAAACGCTCAACTAATCAAGCCGAACGAGTGAATAAGGGATATGCTGATCTTATGGAATTATGGAACATAGTTTTTATACAATGTGAAAGGTGAGTTATCAATTATTATATGTACTTATTAAATATTTTAAATCCTTTAAATTTCAATAATTTAAAGTCTGTATAATGTACTGTATGTTTTTTTAGATATCTTTATGCATTGAATTTAATTTGAAATTTTCTTTTTTATGTAACATTATAAAGAGCTTATTAATTGTATTATTATGAAATTGCTATTCAATATCATATTTTATGTTAGGCTTACAAATGGATGTATAGTACCTTTACCAAACCATCATGTTGATACAGGCATGGGACTTGAACGATTAGTTACTTTTCTACAAGGAAAAAAATCAAATTATGATACAGACCTCTTCCAGCCATTATTCGATGCAATACGAAAGCATTCGAACGCACCAGAATATAAGGGAACGTTTGATGATGACACAAGCAAAACTATGATTACAGAATTATCACTTGATTATGGTTACAGAATTCTAGCTGATCATGCAAGAATGATTACTGTTGCATTGGCTGATGATATGTTACCTGAACAACAGTATGATTTTGTAATACTAATCTATAATCAAATATATATA